GTAGAGTGCTGTGGGGCAGAGGGGGCGGGTGCTGCTGTACATCAGCATGGCACAGTGACAGACTTCACATGCTAATTCCTGCCTCGCCTTACTCACTGTGCGAACTTGCATTAAGTCTCTTAACGTCCCTGTGCCTTGTTTTCCGAGCACGAGATCCGTAGGGCTACTGGGATAACTGAAAGAGGTCAGTATGGAAAACGGTTAGTCCTGGCTTCTAGTTGCTACTCAGTAGCCTCTCTTCTCTGGGGTACGAATGAGACATCTGTCAGTAAGTGGTCCAGAGCACTATGGCAAATGCTGGTTCCAGATATCAGGCAACTGGGCTTGCTGCTCTGGCAAGAGACCTGCATAAACAGAGGCAGAAACCTCCAAGCAGGAAAGGAACTCATGACGTAGTACCATGCGATTTCAATCTTCAGACTGGAAGCTGAAATTGCCACATGAAATCATCTTATTGATGATTAATGAAGAGGTTAAGTGAGTTACCAAAAGTCACAAAATTAATTCCATCCAATCAGTGTTTATTTCTTGAGCCCCTACTATGTGCCAGGCACCATGCCACATGCTTGGAGATATAGCAGTGAACAAGAAGGACCTTGCTTCTGCCCTTACTGAGAAGTACAGTGGGGTGGGGCAGACATACTAAACAAGTGGTCAGAATGATGAGTATTATGGCGGAATGACAAAGTGTTGTGACACACCGTCCCTGGAGGCGTCTCCTTTTTTGACCTCAGGCCTTAGGCTGTTTCTGCTTGTGGTCAGAAGGATGCTGGTAGGCTCTGTGAACCTATGAATCTGGTATTTCCCTTCCATTTATGAAATGAACGGCAGCTTTTACTAGTCTCACCTCAGCACTCAGAAGTAACTCAGTCTAGACTTACTAAATACAATAAATGTATTTAGGTATAATAACAAAAACATAATGTTTGCTATGTTCTAAGGACTGTCTCAGCACTTTACAGAAGCCACTTACCAAAGTAAAACCCAATAATATGATGAATTCAAAGCTCTGGTTTGTTTGCACAGTCCATGGCTTTAAAAAAATGGTAGTACAAAATCAAATTTATGCATTTAATGATTACTTATTGCTTTTTATGACAAGATCAGTTATGATTTTTTGAGTGCTTACTATGTGCAAAGCTGGGCTAAGTTGTTTGCATGTGCTCTTTTATGTAATCCTCTCAAACAACCTTAGGAGGCTGGTACTGGTATTTCCCCCTATTTTACATATAAGCAAACTGAACTCAGTGTCTGAATGATTTGCCCAAGGTCTCAAAGCTAGTGAGTAGTTCAATCCAGAATCAAAACTGGATCGTCTGAGTCCAGAATCAGAACTTGGAAACACTGCACCTTATACATCACCATTTCTACCAGAAAACAGACACAGTTCCGGGTGGCGATTGAGCCACCCTGGCAGACTTCAAAAAGAACTCGGAACTGGTGATCTCAAAGCGAGAGGGGTGAATGGACACTGTGGTGAGGTGTCAGGGGAGGGGGTCTGCTGATCTGTGGGAGGCAATGAAGAAGGTTGGCGTATGAGGCTTTCTTTATACAGGATGTAAGAAAATGGTGGACAAAACTGGTCCTCGGAGGAGGACAAGATAGGGTCCTCAGAGCAGTATCCCAAGGTTTACCTGTGATGTGCAGCCTACTGGCAACCTGCTGAGCCTCCTTCATGGCTGTTAACTGGGAAATAAGTAAAACTGGAGAAGGTTGTACTTGACTCCTCCTGGCTCCATAGCTCCATGGTTAGAGGTAAAAATTTTCTGGAAAAACAGTGCTTGTTGTTTAGGCTAATTCCTTGACTGTGAACGCCCTTAATTAAGACTACACAAGCAGTCATAGCTTGAGGCTGAAGTATTCTAATGTAATATGACAGACACCCAGGAGCAGCACTAGATAAACTGAAGCAGATGTTGAATTCCCTTCCCCCACCCCTCCGGCTTCCACTTCAGCCTGTGTTCACTTACAGAGAGCTGCTCACACATATCTAGTCCAGATACACTGCAAGGGCAACAGGCTTACTTTCCTTTGTGTGCCATGCTATCCCACCTCACCAGAACTTGTTACCCTACTGAACTCATAGCGCGTCATAACAATCAACTTAGTTACTGCTTCATTTTCAAGCTTTTCCCACATAGTCTCTCTCAGTTAATCTCCCCTAAACCTATTCTTATAGTTAAAGAAACCTAGATTCAGGGGCATTAAATCATTTCTCCAAGATCAACAAACAGAGAAACAGAAGAGCCAGAAAGAACTCCATTTTTTTTTTTTTACTCCAAATCCAGTGTTCTTTCTGGAGACTCTTAACTGCCACGGGCACCAGCAGCAATGGTGTCTCCCTCACCAGAGTACCTGTGCTACTTGGCACAGTGCCACACACACAGTGCTTTGCAATAAGTTTGTGTGTGTGTGTGTGTGTGTGTGTGTGTGTATGTATGAATGAAAAAAATAAATGAATAATACAACTTCAGGAATTATCTCATCTGACATTTTTGAATTTCATAGACAATGGAACAGTAACCCACCAAAATTAAACAAATGACCCAAGGCTCATTTGACGTAAACTTAAAACAACTTTTTCTTAATAGTAATGCATGGCCTCTAATATTTTTATTATGATTGTTATTTTCGATGTATGTTTTTGCCTCAGTCACATCTGTTGTATATTCATAGCTGTTCTTACTGTAGTTGCTCAGTAGAAAAGCAAATATCCCGATCCCAAACATAATCATGCATAGTGGCCAAAGAAATTTTTGCTAAACAGCTATTTCTTAGGTAGTTAAAGTAACAGTTAACAACCCAGAGAAGCACAGAAAGTAAGCGTACTATCTGAAATAACATGGGGTGGTAGGGCTCTCATTTCTATCAGCCTCTCTCTCCTTGAATGTCAGAAATCCCCATTCTTCTCCCCCAAGCTTTGGGCTCTAATGAGCAAGGTTTGAGTTTAGTAACTATGTGATGTTGGGATATATGCTGAATGCCTTCACTTGTAACCTAGGAAAAAACATTCTTTTCAAAGATGATTCTGAGCATTCGGTGAGACGGTTTCTGCAGAGCCCTGACTCACAGTCTGCTCCTTTATTCCTTTCCTTCCCTACGGCCTTTGAACCCATCACCAAGGCCGCTGCATGGCCCTTCCTTGCGGAAGCGTTTCAACATTGACTGGATTTAATCTCCAAGTCTTAAGAACTTTTAAAATTATTCTTAAGAATATATTTGTTCAACGTTCCCACTAAGATGCTACCATAAACCAAATGCTACCAAAAACCAAACATACAGAATGTCTAAGCAGTGGGCAGAGATTAATCGGCCAATTATTATGTCCCAGCAAGTTTTATAGCCTCTATTTCTCACAAGATTTTAGATTTGAATTTATAATTCAGAGTCATTAAGCCACATTTGAAAGCTAATTGATAGTATATAATCTTAGCAACATTCGTTTTGCCTTCTGCATAATTCATAAAGCTCAGTGCATTACATCTTCCAATTAAGTGTTTGCTTATATCCCTTGCTTCCATATATCATCAGTACCAATCATTGGTCACTTTTCCTTTATTTTGTAATTTCTAAAATTTTACTGGAAATTGGTATATTCTGATTCTCCACCAAAATAAACACACCTTATTATTAATAATAACAAACTGTGGCTAAATTTTATTATCTGTAGCAATTGAGGCCTCTTAAAAATAACACACACAAATCTTCTTTAAAAAAAAAGCTACACATCATTTAATATTTGGGAATCATGCTGTCAGTATTCACCCTTTACTTTTAGCTTTGCCAAGAAGAAATCACCCAAAAGAGAAAAGGGTCACCCTGTCTGCACAGACACCTTAATTCTACTCCCTGAGCCCAGAAACCAGCTCAGCACAGCCACTCGGGGCTGACTCTTTTCTTCTCCAGCCCTGTCTCCTTCCCTTCCCTCTCAAGTTCGTCGCTCACCCACTCACCACTCCACCACCCACAGTCAGTCAGTCCAGCTGTCAATTTCAAGTTCCTTATTGTTCCGAGTTATGTTGCATTTTGACAGATCACATGTTGCCTGCATTTATGTTGTCCAAAACTCTTCCTTTACTCTGTTTATATTGACGCTACGAATTTAAGGTGATACCTTGTAACTGTTGGTGTTAAGAAGAATCAGTTAAATGAAGTTATACAAAAATATTTCTGGCATATATAGCAAGTGCTAAAGAAATGTTACCTACTATTTTTAGTTCTAGCTTTATCATGATGTCATCTGTAATTAGGCTACTACTGAGAGTACAGTTCAGCACTTAATCCCCTAATACTATTTTATACCTAGTACAGTTTAATTTTCTTATGTATTAGTATCAAGATGATAAATTCTTTAAATGGTATCATGCCTTCTATTTCTCTGCATCTCCTAAGTAGAAATAATGCAAGTTATACTGGCAGCAGCCTATTATATCATTATAGCAATCTTCTAGGGTTGGATTATTATACCACTTAAAAAAATGAGGAAACTGAAACTCACATAACTTACAGCAGGAGAGTCACAATTCAAATTTAGATACTGTAACCACAAAGCCAGTTCTCTTAACTACTACAACAAATACAAGTGGACCCATGAACAGCATGGGGGTGAAGGGCACCAAGCCCTGCACAGTTGAAAGTCTGTGTCTAACTTTCGACTCCCCCAAAACTTAAGTTGTCCCTCTTGAGTATCTGTGGGTAATTGGTTCCAGGACCCCCGGCGGATACCAAAATCTGCCGATGCTCAAGTCCCCTGTATAAAATGGCGCAGATCAATGCATGGGGTTGGCCCTTCACCTCCATGGATTCTCGACCTCAGATTGAAAACAGTATGGATATTTACTGAGAAAAATCCACATATAAGTGGACCCCCACAGTTCAAACTCATGTCGTTCAAGGGCCAACTGTACTTCTGAAGCCATATACATCATAGCACTCTTGAATAATAAATACATTGCCATAAGGCTGTATTGATTGTCATCTTTGATTCTTCTCCCTTGCAGATGGACCCCCATGAGAACATATTACTGAGCACTCTTGAGATAAAAAATGAAATGGCCACGTCTGAGGCCGTGATGGGACTTGGAGACCCCAGGAGCACCATGCTGGCTTATGATGCGTCCAGCATCCAGTATCGGAAACCCGGGTTGCCCAGGCATAGTTTTGGCCGAAACGCCCTGGAACGACACGTGGCACAGAAGAAAAGTCGCCTGCGGAGACGTGCCTCCCAACTGAAAATCACCATCCCCGACTTGACTGATGTGAATGCCATAGATCGGTGGTCCCGCATATTCTTCCCCGTGGTTTTTTCCTTCTTCAACATCGTGTATTGGCTTTACTATGTGAACTAAAACATGGCCTCTCATGGGAAGCAAGGACTAGATCCCTCCTCATACCAGATGTACAGCCTGACGTAGGACTTGGAAAACACATCAATCCAGGACAAAAGTGATGCTAAAATACCTTAGTTGCTGGCCTATCCTGTGGTCCATTTCACACCATTTGGGTTGCTTCTGCTAAGTAATGAATACACAAAGGTCCTTGTGGTTTTCCAGTTACAATGCAAGTGATTTGTACACATGCTGACAAGATTGAGTCTGAGCGTTCCACTTTATCTGCTTAGTATGCAGCCTACACAGAGGGGAATTACCTAGAAGACATTCCTAGAAGGCCTGATAGCACTGTCAGTCATTTTGCCAAGAAGCGGTCATATCCAGATACTTCCATCTTCATTCCTAAGGTTGGCATGCTGTTGAGACGGCACCGTGCTTAGAAAACATTACCCTCAGTGCCATGTGAACATGCTTATGGAAGATGGTCTGTGCCTGTCATTATTAAGGTGATAACGGTGCCATGGGAAGATAAGTCCCACTGGATTCTAGAAGGTTCTCATGTAGTTCAAACAAGGTAGGGGGAGTCAGGACAGAGACTCAGGAAACCAACCTGGCCAGTTTCTGCTTGCGTGAACACAGGGTATCAACCATGACATCTTCCATTTTGACCTTTAGAGACCAGGAGACTTCTGAAAGTTACCATGCATGGTGGCCAAAGTAATTTTTCCAGAAAGCTGTTTCCCAGATGGTTAAAAGAAGAGTTAACAACCCAGAGCAGAGTGGAAAATCCAGAAATGACTGTTGTAACAAAATTAAAGTAAGCAAGCATCATGACCCTTATCGGCCCCACACAGCATCTAGTCCATATATAGTGTGTTCAGTGGCAAAAGGTAGAAAGACTTCTTTTTCCAGCCTCACAAGCTTTTGACAGCATACCGTCAGAGGTTTGTATATTTTATGTAATTAAAAGACAATCACAAAAGGGAAAAGTTAGCCGAATGAGCATTATCATAGCTGTAAGTTAGATTAGAAGTCATTTAAATACGCTAATACAGAGCACAGATGAAGCGAGCAAACAGGTTGCTCTTCTCCCACAGTGGCAGCTGTCTGCAACATTTCCCCGTAAGTTTCTTTCTGACTTTAATAGGGAATTTCAAAAGAAGGACTTGTTCGTTTCTGTAAAGGATTAATGGTCCTTTCCAGCCTTTCCTGCTTCTGAAATTCTGACTATATTCTTAGGAGACAAAGTAAGGCTTCAGAAAGATTGAGTGAACTCTGTCTCTTTATGTGCAATGAAGTTCACCCTTGTATTTTTCACAGCAAACAATACTTCAAACATTATGTGCACAAGTTAGTTCATGGGTTTGTTAGGTTTGATTTTTTTAAAAGGGTGCTTTCATTGTGTATGTTGCAACCTTTCTAATCAAGGAAAATATGAAAATGAATGGAAAAATAGGATAACAACAAAGCCACATTAAGATGATGAAGGTTAGGAGCCCCAGTTGATACTGTGGGAAAATATTTAACTGATAACCGGGTAGGCACGATGTATTGTTTTTATTCCATTTTTAAATTTTGTCATTGTGCTTCTTTCTATACTAATTGAACACCCGCATTTCCTGTGTTGGACAGGAAGGAGAATAAGCTCATTTATTCCCATCAGTGTGAGGCTCGTATTTTCCTTTTCTTGGAGAAAATAGTGAATTTTCCTTCAAGTTTGATTTGATTGAACTTTTTCTTGGAGGATGACTTTGCTATTTCTGTTTAACAAAACAAAAACCACTTCCTTTCAGAGTAACATTCCTAATTGTGCATAGGCCAGTATCTGCCTGTGGATAAAATGTTGTTTTTTCCCCCCTAATGATTCAGCAGTTTGGAATATGATACAGTCCTGCTGCCCTTTTAGTCCAAGTATCCAAGAGGGAAAAAAAAAGAAAGAAAGAAAAGAAAAAATAAAAAGGTTTAGCATTTAATTTTCTGAATTTGCCTGAAGATCAGTTGGTATTTTTCGTCCCCCACCAGCACAGGGAACTGTGGCCCTTATTTTTTTATTATACACTTGAACACCTCTGAGTATGATCTCTGGGCAGAACCCAAACAAGATTCTGCTTATGGGCTCAGAATGGAGATTCTTCAAGTTTCTCCAGGGACACACTTTCTCCTAGGCAATCATTTTGGGGCATCACACTGATAAAAGTGCCTGCCCTTTGTTGCCAGGGGTTAGTCTGATTAGCATATAGCAGGAAGGAGCATATCAATACCTCAGGTGCGCACCTCCAAAAGGCCATTCCAAAAGGTTTTTCTAGAGGCAGCTCAGAGCCCAGGTCTAGAAGTGGGTTCTTATTTGCAATTATCACAAAAGCCATAAAATTCCTTGATATTGTCACTTAAAAATTAGATGTTCAGAGAAGTCAACAGAGTCATCTAGATCAAAGAGGAAAGAAGAAACTTAGCAGTGTGAGTGTCAAAAGCATATAACCAGGGATTCATTTCTGCTCCCAGTGATAAGAAGAAACTAGGACAAGGAGAAAAGATGGGACCTTGGAACAGATGCCTAGAGCAAAATCCATCTATTGGCATTCAATAACCACACAGGTAGAAACAACCAATCACCCTGCCCGAGGTAACAATAGATATAGAATGTGTTATTAAACTACATTTTTACTGGGGTTGAATTAAATTGTAGTCACCAAATTGGGGAAGGGTTGGGGAGGGGTGCTAGATCTCATAAATCTACGAAGACCCGTCAGCTCCATATCCAATGGTTAAATTTAAGGACCACAAAAGTGTGTTCTGGCAATTCTGATATGGTAGTACTGTCAGTTTATACATATGCATATACTTTTGATTATAAAACAGCCAGATAGCCAGCAATTAAGGTGTTTTTTCATCTCTGTGAAATTCATAGGCAAATTCTGACTCTAAAATGCACAGCCTAAATGAAATATTTGCTCTCAATCTGTATATATATATAGTACATGACTGCTAGTAGGTATGAAATGCATTTTCAGAATTGAAAACTCATGCAACATAATCATGTGTTTGCATAGGGAATGTTACAATTCTTTCCACTGCAATTTACTAACAGGAAAAGACTTCAGCAGTGCCATCTAGACCTTTTCTCTTCTCATTTCTTCAAAAGCAGTGCTAAGTTACAAATAATAATAATAATAATAATAATAATAATAATAATAATGGTTTATGAACCAAAAGACTTTACATTCTAGCATTAGGAACCACACAAAAAAACTGTCCGCTTAAAAAAAGCACAACACGTAGACAAAGTTCAGTGGAAAGCCTAATGGGAAATGAATCACATTTATTTTAAGCAAGCCCTGCATCGAATTGGCAACTAAGACACTTTTCATTTTCTATAGATAACTGTGTTCCACTTTTTTCATTAGTTCCATATTCACCAACAAAAGCAGCCAAAATATCAACAAAACAACAGGTATGACAACAATGTACATGTATATATGTGTATATATAGATCCATATAAACATACATACATATGTATGCATTCATTTGTGGTAAAACAAGAGGAATAAACTAATATGTTTTATTTCCTTCATTAAACCAGTGTATGAATATTTTTAATTTGGCCACCAACAAATCCACATGTTGAAACAAGTGATACAGGGTACTGAGCATTCCTCTAGCAGCGAACCAATGCCTACAGTTCCTACAAACCATTGCACAGTTTGACACTACGATTGCGCTGTACCTCAGAAATTAACTAGTTCTCAGATCGCTTGTCTACTTGCTCTCTTTTTCAAGGAAACACATAACATTGTCCATTGGTGATTTAAGAATAAAACTGTCTTAAGAAAACAGAAAATGATTTTAGAAAAATCCTTCTAGGAGGAGGAAAAAAAAAAAGAAAACTAAACCCCACCATGTTGGTTAGGGCAAATACTCTCAACTGTAGCAATCACACCATTTTGCTAAGTGTACAGAGTTCCATGTAATGTGAGCAACCATCACTTTCACTGAGCGTATGTAAATATTAAAACAGATTTCTTAAATATTTTTAACTTCTAATTTGTATTTTATGGTAAGGCAATGTGCTAATTCTGTTTATGGCTTACATTGATGTGTTATAATATTATGTAAATAATTAAATATGCTGTAAATGAATAGTCAGTAGATACAAATAATTGTTTAGTTTTTTTCTTAATTTTTATTTATTTTTTACTAAGTCCAGTTACTGCAGTGCCCCAACAGAGTAATTCAACATCCTTTTGCATAAATGGTTTGGGATCCCAGACAGAAGGGTTTCAATTTCCTCTCTCTCTCCCTCTCTCTCTCCCTCTCTCTCTCTCTCTCTCTCTCTCTCTCTCTCTCTCTCTC